CGAATGAGTGCTGTGCTGCTTAAATGAACAACAAAACCAATGGGAAAACATAACTTATCAATAAACGGCAAGGAATATTCGAATAAACTGAAATCGAAAGCAAGAATTCACGGGATTTTACTGTCTTGCCACAAGTTCGGCCACCGAAGAGAAAAATGAATCAGCATAGAGAATTTCCGCAACTCACCGTGCATGCACTGTACGTGGTAATAAAAAAAAAAAAAACGAAATTCTACAGAAAAAAAAACCAGGAAGCAAAAACTTCTCTTCAGCCCATTTTTTAAAAGTGCATAGAATACGAAAAAGCCTTTCCAGCTCAATTTCTGTGGTTTATTTTCAACAGTTTTAACTAGGACGCAGCTCGACAGAGTGTGCATAGAAATGTATTCTATTGCCAAAAGAATTTTTGCTTCACTGTTATCAAATCATTTAAATGCTCGAAGAGATGAAAATTTAAAGCAGTAACATAAGTTCGACTGTTAGAAAAATACAGAAACACAAAAAATCACTTCCTTTGAGGATAAAAATCCATTTTGGTATCGCGGATATCACAAAACTAAAGTCCGAAGGAGTGTTGAGGAAACAGAGAACAATTTTAAACACATCATGAAAATATACAATAAGCAAACCATTCACCGCAAAATTTTTGCGATTATCACTTTAATTAATTGAACGAAGAAAGCCTCTCAGTGTTATTTACTTACCAGTAATAGATATGATTTAACACGCGCAGCGTCAGCTTGACATTGGCTTAGGATATCCAAGCTCACGTCTCAAAAATAGCGATTTTTGCTAAACCACCTCGACTGCTACAATTTTATGCACTGATGCAACGCGGTTGCGAGCAGGGCGTCTTTATGAAATTTTGATTCATACGAATGTGTACGTCGCGCAAGCGCAGGTGTTTAACTACAAAAATGGCCTACTCTGCAAAGAAGTACCGCTCTGACAGACCTTTTCAAGTTTCGCTCATCCATTCGACCACCAGATTTGTTTGGGCAGTTCCACTGCAACCAGCTGTATATGCCAGAATCTTGCCCTTATGTCAACACAAAGGTGTACGCAATTCGAATGAAGGATTCAGAACTGCGGTATCAGTGCACGATTGAACCGAAGCATCGCATCGCGTTCCATTCGTTGTGGTTCGTCAATTGTCTTTATCAGAGCGATGGGGTCAAAGGTTATTTGGCTACAGACATAGCTATCCGAATCGTCGTTTGCGCTTGCCATATCTGGTGAAGAGGTTGCAAAAATTCTCTCAAGTGATACGGTCGACGATGGAACTGTGAGCAGCTCAGTTGCTATTTCTGCCAGCAATCCATACTTGACGGTGTTAAATTGCCAATACTGAAGCGGTGGCAGCTGACGACCAGCAAAAGCAACCGGAAGCCCACCTGCTGCAACCGCAAACGGCGATGGTGACGTTTGATTGGTTCCAGCCTGCAGAGCGAATTTTCTCAGATTCTGCCAATTTTTGTGACCACAAAATTATTTGCTCTTAGTTGGTGAGATAAGTCATCGTGTCCAAACGTTAGGACGAATCATGCTTGGTATGTTTCAAGGGCACCCTAAAACCACTGAAGCTTTGTCAATGCTTCTATCGATTAAACCTCTTAGCTGACAATTTCCTTAGAAGACGAAACAAACATCATTATCGTTAGCAGGTTGACCATCAGGCAATGCGACGTTAAAGCGACTGGAGAAATTTGCTAGCTAGATAACTTCGGAACCAAACTAGAACTACAGCTGATCCAAGTATTCTAAA